GCTTCCAACTGGTGTCTGGATGTGTTGGGTCCCTAAGTGAACTATTATCACTCACATAAGGAGTATCTGTAAGGAATTTATTGTCCATTTGGGATGAGCTTTCCTTTAGCTGGTCCATATGATTTAATACTTTTTCCTCTGCAAGCAGTGCCTCTCTCTGTCTTTGTCCGTGATTTGAATCTAACATTGGCATGGTATTATTGTCTTCATTCATGCTATCAGTAAAGCATTCTGAGAGAAGCAAATTTGTCCAGGTACCTTGGTCATCATCAGCTTGCTGTAGGTAGGCTGTCACACTAATGTCAGATTTCACAGTACCATCAAGAAGCTGAGAACCTGGAACCCTAAACTGTGTTTCATTATTCTCCTCACCCTTTGTGAACACCCATTTAGTGTCAAAGGTATTTTCAGGCTGAATAGGCTCAGCAGTATCTTGTGGCATGTGTTCACTTTTGACACAAGTCCCATATTCATCTTCTGTTTCCTGCTGTCTGGCTTCTTCACTGGTACATGAAGGACCAACATATCTTTCTTTGGAAATATTTGACATTGATTCACATATTACTGGGGATAGTTTTCCATTTTCATGGTTAGACTGGAATTGCAAAGTATATTCTGTCTTTTGGCCTAAAGAACAGCAGTAGTCATCAATATTCTGATTGTTTTCATTGCTCCTTTCTACATCTTCTACTGACATTAACAGCTGGTCACATTTACTTATACATTGATGATGTGAATCAAAAATATCCATTTCATCTTCACTGTCAGAATCAGTGTCAGAGTCATCATAACTATCATAATCCTCCTCATAATCTTCCCCCTCCTGTGTACCTTCAGATTCCTCCTCACACAGGTCACCTTTTGCTTTCATTTCAACTTCTTCATTCCTGTCTTGTACATCTGCTTCATACATATTCTGTAAATAGCTCATGCCTCCTTCCTTTGTTCCTTCACTCTCAACAGTAACTGATAACTCATGCTCCTTCTCTCCAAAACTCCCTTTTGTCCTTTCCCTTCCCTCAAGGGTTTTCTCCATAGTTTTGGCACTTGCAGAAGCTATAGTTATGCTCTCAGGTTGCCCTTTCACATTCCCATGAACATTCTCTCCAGCATTAGCTGCAAGTTCTTGAAAAGAGCTGGTCTCTTCTTTCAGGGTTATTCGACCACCTCTCTCCTCCAGAAAACCAAATGGAACTGATCTTCCAGCCAATTCTGGCTCTGGTATATCATCATCCCTCACCTGCAAGGTGTGAAACCCCTCATCACCTTGAGAAGTGTCAGAGGAATCATCATCATCATCAATTTGTGGAGTATCATAGACATCACTGTCATCATCATCACCTTGAGGTGTTTCATAGGCATCATCATCATCACCATCATCCAACTGAGAGCTGTCCTCTTCAGAGGCCACCTCACCACACCCTTGCTGCAAGCAGCTACTCTCAAGCTGTGGGATGCCCTCCCCCTCCTCTATTGATGAGTCAGAGCTACTGTCACACGGCAGTAACCTGTGGAATATAAGATCACTTTCTTCTTCTGTCAGCTGTTGTGCTCTGCTGTTACTGTCCCCCAGAGGTGGTCCATCGTGTGTGACAGTATCACCACCCAATGAAAGCCTATGCTGCATGTCTATGCTGTCCTCTAGACACAGTTTATTCTGAAAATCAGCACAATCCTCCAGGGATGGCCTTCCATGGATATAAAGACAGTCCTGTAGAGATGGACCTGCATACTCCTGAAGAAGTTGTGCACCATATCTGTTGTCTTCAAACTTTGGTGTGACACCACATTGACTAATCAATTCTTCTGGAAGTCTATATTCAGTGTCTGCAGTGATGGATGGATCAAGACTTCTCTGAAAATTATCTTTCTTGCTATTATCCAGTACCATTCTGCTACTGTCAGTTTGAAATATGGGAGGCCCATAGTCTCTGCACCTTTCCAGCTCCCTCCATGTTTCCTTATCTGACAAATCATTCATGCTCAAGGAATTTTGTAATGTTTTATCATTCATGTTTTCATTATCCAGACTGCCTCCCACACAAATCTCTTCTTTTGCTGTTTGTGATAAAAGTTTTGTATTTGAGTCATTTGGAGGATATCCTTCAATGTTTCCTGAATTTGTCTGCTGATTGTTATGCTTACAGAGTTCTGTCCACTCAGAAACCTCCAAAAAATCCCTGAGTTCATTTCTCTTCATGGAATTTTGAGTGCTGCTTACTACATTGCTGAGTTCTGCAGGGGTAGTTAACTGCATCTCCTGTGTATATTCTGATTGCTCAGTACCAAGAATATTGCAAACATCTGGCCTGCACACATGGGGATATTCTTGTGAAGATATGTAATTCCCAAAATCATCACATTGATTACATATCCTGTTATTACCAGAGTTCTCAGCACCTGAAAGATCACCCTGAACACAGTTTGCTGACTTTAGGTGAATTCCTTTTGAACTTACATATTTGTTACTAAACTCTATTTCTGACACACCAGCATTGTACCTAGCACTATCACCATCCAGCAACATACTGATGATTTCTTCCAGTTGTCCATCATATAATAAAATTCTCTGTCCAGTGTTTGCATCCATATAACTATTTACCATCAGGTAAGACATGAATAATTTCTTAGCTTCATCTAGATTATGACATACAGAGTCTTCTGTGCCAGAAACTTCATGTTCCCCCTCAGAGCCATGAAATACAGATGGCAGAAATTCATAAGTTGATAACCACTTTGCAGCATTTTTACAAAGGGACTTTAGTTCTTCTACATTGGGCATTTTATCTGGTAAAGTCACATTGGTCAAAACAGATACAGTATTACTGTCTATAATCCCTGATTCTGCAGCCTTGTCAAGACTGATTATTTCACAAGTTTCTGGAATGTAAAGTGCAGCTATTTTCTTTCTATCATTCAGTATTTTGAATGCCAGCTCATTTGTAATCATATCTTGGTGCAAAGAAGTTGATACAGGGAATATTTCACCAGTGTGAGGCCAAATTAGTCCCACAAAGCCTCTCTGAGCTTCTAAGACCAGCAGAGCACTGGTAGCTGATATTAAGTTGCATTGCACAGCTTCATCAACAGTCAAGCGTTGTCCTGAATTTTGGCAAAGGATTCCACCAGTCTGAACCTGACGTGTGAGGATCCCACAAGCAGTGTCCTGATCTATCATCCCTTGTCTCATGGCCTCTTCCACAGTCATTCGTTTCCCTGAGTCGGGGTCAATGATACCTCCAGACATTAACTGAGCACCCAGCAGCCTGAACATTGTTTCCCTGTCAATGAGCCCTTCATGGGCTGCCCTCAAAATAGTTACCTTCCTTCCACATTTCAACACAATTCTCCCTTTTTCTTGTGGTTTCACAGGCAGGAGTCTTAACCCTGTTGCTTCATGTACTATGCTTCTATGAACCATCTGTTCAAGGGAAATTTTCTCAGCACAGTTGGGATCTATGAGATCTTTACATGTATCTTGTCTTTCTAGGAGTTTGGAATATAATGTTGGAGAAATGAGATTTCTCTGGAAAGCATTCTGCAAAGACAGCTTTTCTCCAGTAGATGGCAAAATCAAATAACCGCTTGAAAGCTCATTCTCAAGAATTTTAACAGCCAGATGTTCTGAAATCAGACCTTGTTCTAAAGATGAAACAACTGGAATATTTGCTAATGATGATTCTGAGATAAGCTTCTTTGCGTTACTTAATTCTTGCAGCTGCAACAGAATCTGCTCATCAATTAAGGCATGGGCTTTAGCTTCTTCCAAACCATAACACACTCCTAATTCTGGAGAAATTATTCCAGAAAGAATCAGCTGATTCTCAAGCAATCTAATTCCAGTGTCATAGTCAAGAAAACCTCTTAAAATAGACTGAAAGACTGAAAGGACTTCTCCAGTTGTTTGGTCAATGACACCAGCAATGACTTTATTCACCTAAAAGGGAATATAAAAGAAAAATTATCATCCTTTTTGGATCATATGTTTAAAATATTCTTTTGATTTTGAATGTATGATAAGCATAAAAACATATACTTACCAGGCCTGGAGGAATGTTGTGAATGTTAGCAGCTCAAATGCACAAGTGATCTATGTCAGTCATTCAACAGCACACGATGTGATAAAAGATTTAAAACCAACATGCATCTGTGAATTGAAAACCTATGCTTTGCATACATAAATAGGGTTAGTGAAAGACAATAGAAGAAATGATTGCAGAGAGGGCAAATAGAACATATACCTGAAAGGCACATTTTCATGCTAAAAATGTCTGTGAAAGGTTAGAATATTTGGAAACAGTATGTGATTCAACACAACCATGCTATTCATGTTTACAGCATACAGCATTTCTGTATATACACTCAACCATATGGAATCAGATACTCCAGCACCAAATATTGCATTTAGTTCACATGGAAAGCATGAAGTCAGTTTGGCAACATTATTTGAACTCATTACACATTCTGCCTCTATATGTATATGGGAATACTCACTCCATATTTAATACTAATATCCATTAGCAAATATACTCATAGTGTCTCAGAGAAAATTGTATTATGTTCTCCCATTTTCATACCCAGAAAAAATTTAGGAAAACCTGAAAGCAGATCATTTCTAGGATATTTCTGAGTAATATATGGGAGAGATTAACATGTTATTTTATGGTGTCATTATTGCAGCAGAAACGCAGACTTATCTAGCAGTCAAAGAATGGCTTTTAAGAGAAGAGTTAAGAGATGAATGATTTGCTTATCTTTCTTCATGCAAGGCACACATTATTAAGACTCTTCCAAAGAAGTTTGATGAATAGAATGCTCATGTGCACAGGTAAGGTCACATACAGTATTTCATAGCAAATACACAAAACCTTCAGTCAATTAAATATCTAGTCCTTCCACACACTGTTAATTGCAGCTTCTTCTTTTGCTGATCATGTGTCATTTGAAAACCATGCAAGAAATCTCAAGAGGAACTGAAATCTAAGTTTGAATCTTGTTACCTTTTCTTCCATCTTTTCATCACCCAGATGTGCTTCCTGCAGCTGCTTTAAAGCTTCATTGGATAACAAGCTGTAGCTTTCCTGGAGAGATCTAACTTGCTTTTCCATTTCATGTCTCTCTTCATCTGTCATTCTATCATGGGAAAAAAAAATGGAAGGAGATCTCTGGGTAATTTGTAACTTGCTGGGAGTGATCTGCCTACCATTACTTAAAAATGGGGAACAGAAATTAGTACAAGTAGTCTGGTAAAAATACAGCCTAATTACAAAGATGTTCAAGAAAGCTACAATCTCATTGCAGTTATTCAGGAAAAGAAGCATTTCACTTTTGCACAGGCCTTTGTCTACTGGTTACCAGTCAAGACAGGTAACATAACCATCAAGGAGTCATGAGATATCTCAGCAATTTAGTAACTTAAATCTGTTTTCAGACACAAATGAAAAAAATCTTGTGATAGGTAGTTCAAGTACTCATTTACTACAAATTTGTTAATTATTTTGATTTCAAATGAAATTTTAAATATCTAATATTTTTAAGATGACCAGAGGTATACAAACCAAGTCAAATTCTTGAAATCAATAAAATTGCATCAAGCTTCACTAAATGAGAAGATAAAAAACTCCCAAACTGTACATGACATGCAATTAGATCTATAAGGATATGATTTCTTTTTAAGCAAACAGTATGTATTTATTCAATTCATTTTACACTATTTGAAAAATAAAAAATGGCATACTTGTCACTGTGCTTAGCTAAAAATGACTGAGTTGTCTGCAGAGCTTCAGCTATTTGTTCTTTCTTGGTTGACATTTCATGAAGGGAAATCTGAAAAATAAATAACCTGTGTTCAAGACTTAATAATGTATATAGATAAACAAAACAAACAAACAAACCCTTATTTGTATCTGGGACTAATCTCAATAATAAAAGAGCTTGATTTTTAAAAAAATACTGGCTATCAGTAGAGCAATATTATTTATCAGAATTGCATCATTTACATATGTAAATGTAAGTCATTGTGATATGTCTTTTGATTAAGCAAGCTGTTTTTAGAAAACTAGTGGGCAAAACAAATAGAATATTTCAAAATGTTATTTGATGGAAAAATTAACCAATCATTTAAAATCACTTATTGTAATTGGCACACTTTACAGTAGCTTTATAAAGGTTCTGTACGATAGTCATGTTCAAGAAGTTGCTCCCCAAAATAAGAGATAACAAATTTTTGAAAAAACATATCAGAAGACCACAAGCCTTCATGAAATTCAAAAACAGAGACAAATGCAATATGAGACACCTGGGAAAAAATGAATTATTAATTAATATTCTCCACACTATCAGTTCTGTGCCCTCCCCAATAAAGGACTTGTTCTGGTAGAGGAACTTGTGGGAATTTAATCTTCTATCTTTCCTGAGAATCTCCCTGCAGTCTCTTCAAAGAAAAGCTCTCATAAAGGCAAATTATCAAAAGGGAGTTCTGCAAGCTGGAGATGTTTTCAACATAGGTGCTAGGTCTCGAGCAAGGTGCTTGAGCCCTTCATTCACCTTGGTCTGGACAAAACCAATTTCTCCTTGTCTGCATTATACCAAAGGGCCCAGAAAGTCTCCCTTTGCAATCACCACCAGCAAGCCACAATCTCATCACCTGTACTGCTTGCACAGGAACCAAGAGAACCACTGGATGCACTATGCAAGAAGATGAGGTGAGCAGGCTGAATGGGGTCAAAAAATCCACTTTACTCAGGGAACCAGTGTCACTGTGGCTGCTGTGTGCACCCTGTCACTACTGGCACCAGCTTTGCTTCCCAGTACCTGGCTACACTCCACAGCAACCCCAATCCTCTGTGTGAAATGTATTTCAGCTGACATTAGCTATGAAATCACCAGTTTCTACATGCTTCTACACAACTTACAAGGTATCATTGCTATTCAGTGGAGACACAAACCCAGGCACCTCTGAAAGGTGCAGCCACCTCGCCAGGCCATTTCACAAGGGAAACAAAGACCCTCAGCAAACACTCATCTCCCAGAGGAAGCCAAGACAGCCAACTCACAGGTTACTCACTGGAAGCCCAGGCTGGACAGAGGAGATGATGCCCACAGTTGCTGTGGTAAGCTGAGATGTCCTTACTAAGGAGTTGAGAGCTGGCCCAGTACTGATAAAGGTTTGCAGCGTAGTCATTAACAAGGGCAGCATTGAATGCTTTTGCAAATTCTGATTTTAACTACTAGCAATTTACCAGTCAATATGTTCAAATCAGTGCAAGCTTACTTCCTCCTGTAGATATAAGGACAAACTCACAGCTAGCACTGGTCCTCTCTGAACAAGCTACATGCTGGAACAGTGTTCATCAGGACTGCCAACCTTCCCAACAGCAAGCTGGACTTATGAACATGCTGGTCCAGTGGCTCTGGCACCAGAAAGCATCACCAAAATAAAACCATAGGAACAGGATGCCAAGAGGGCCAAAATCATGTTTGCAAGACACACCCAGCAGTTTACTGAGGGATGTGGACAAGACACTGCTCTGTCCCTCTGCTGCTCAGTATGCCGGTAAGCCTTTACCTGCTGAAACCTTTCTAGGTGTAACTGAGCTATTTCATGGGGCAAGCCCAGCAGAGAAGGTCCTAGAAATGACATGAAACGTCAGAGATGGAAATTTATGGTCTGAGTTACAACTGCACAAAGTGACAATGTCCCGTTAAATACAAGGCATCAAGTTGGGCCACTCCAACAGCATCTGGACTAGTGTGATAACAGAGAGGCCTCTGTCAACATCTGCTGAACTTCCTAGGACAGCAGTTTTGACTATCTCTTAAGAAGACCCTTCAGGTTAACTTTTCAAAAGCAAATAAATAGAAACTTAGCACTCAGGCCCCTCCTACCAACTTTCTCCTTCCTGGCCCAAAATGCCATCCTGACAGGATGCACTCTCCCTCTACAAAGGCTGACATATGGTGTGCAGGGTCCAGTTTCTCTCAACTGATATTTTACAGTGTCAGAATGTGTCATACACGAGGTCTGGAAAAAGCAGTGGGAGTTTCCTCCTGAGTAACATGCTTGTGTCCCCACACATTGATGTTTATTTACCCAACTCTCTACTCACAACCAAATGTGAAATCATGTCCTGAGGGAAATGTGGATGGCAATTTGTAGGGGGAAGAATGTATTTATGGATTATTTTGGCCTTTTAATCCATGCAAAAACCCAAAAAGAGGAAGTGGTGCTTTATTCATAAGATTTCTGTGTACCTGCTGCTTAGGTAAATCTGTCTTTTCAGCCTTTTCTCCTTCTTCTTTGCTGAGTGTCTTGCTGAGGTTTGACACCCATTTCAGTAAATCCCCAGCTTTCTCAACATGTTCCTTCTTTTCCTCTTCCATTGATTTCTGATGAATGCCACAAATTGTAAAGAAACATGTAAATGTAAATTGTTGAAATATGTAACATTAATGTCTGTAGAAACACAATTCTATCCCAATGCCATTATTATCACCACATAAACATAAAATTATTTCTTTTTTATTTACCACCACATGCGTTACTATGACACTTTGATGTAGGAACAAAAATGGCACATAATTATAAACAATAATAAAAGAATACCTCAAGTGATTTTTAATTATGATAAATGTGCTTATTCATACACACATGCAATCATTATAAAATGATTGATAGCAAGAAAAAGCATAGCTTCCCAGCCATTACTCAGCAGATAAAATCTCAAAAGCATTTGCATATAAAGTATCTTTGAATTGCTGCCTTTGCATTACCCTCACATAAGGATATGTACAACCAGTATAGCATAACAGTATTTTGCACATTATGCACATGGATTACCAAATTACAATTAGGAAGAATACATTGCTTTTATGTCTACAGAAACAATAAAAAATAAAAGTAAAATACTGAGACATTTAATCTTTTTCTGCACAAGAAAACATTCTCCTTTTCATACAATCTGTTAGGTGGACTCTTATCAATACTGAGAAAACACAGTCAAGCCCTTCCATATACCATAAGATTTTATTTCAATGATTTTATAAAAAACTTGATGTGTAATTGTAATTTATTTACCTATTAGAGCAGAAGACAATTCTAAGAAAAAAAATAACATGAAATTAGAGAAAAACTCAGGACAAGAAATACAACTTTCTGGTGTAAGCAGCCCCTTAAAATTAATGAAATATCAGTGTGAAAAAAAGTACTGATGCACGTATGCTTACTGCACTGCAGATTTATTTATTTATGTATTTGTTGTATATTTTATCGCCACTCTTGTAAAACAAATGGTATCTGCTGACTGATTTGTAATTTTAATTTAAGTAACAGGTCACATGAAATATTGCACTGTGTTCACTCACAAAATGGTCAATCCCTCTCAACCTTATTGTAAGAATATGATTCTTGTCTCGCCTAAATCCACCCACTTTGAACTAATATTAACTTCATCAACTTCAGTATAATTTCTCATTTGCACTACCTACATGTAAAGTAATGATAGACAAGGCCTTTAGGTAAAGATTGAACACACAGAGATTGCATTTTGAAATTGAGTCTGCCTATCTATAAATTTCAGTTTTGCAATAAGTAATATCAAATTCCAGATCCAGTGGTTTATGCTAATTAGTTGTTCATAACAATTAGTTTTACAGCAACTAATTATTGCTAGAAAACACCACTTATGATTTTCCATAAAGGCCGTCACAGATATTTTCCTTAACTTTAACAGGTTTTAAAGCAGAGCCCAAAAGAAATATTAATATCTTTTGTCCCCTATGAATCATAGTAAAGACTGGAAATTCCTGTTTTCATGGGCTGAGCTGCTTCTAACAACCGCAGCCCAGTGTGGCAATCAAAAACAGCTCTATCTAAAGCTTCTTTGTAAGTTATCTTCTTCTTAGTTTTGGGGCATGTTAAAACTTTAACGTGCAATTTTTCATTCTTCATCTTTGTAGCTGTGATAGCATCAATAATACCATTCTTAATTGCATCTTCCATTGTTAATCTGGAATGAGACTTTGGATCTATCAAGCCACCAGTCAAGTACTGATACTCCAGGCAGCGCATGCCCATTTCTTTGTCTATGGCACTTAAATGCACAGCCTCAACAGCTGACATAACAGCATTCCTTACAGGATGAATGATCCCAGTAAAGATCAGCTCACACTGCTGGATTTGCTTGGCACAGCCATCATCAATTAACTCCCTTTGCAAAGCCTCTGAAACACTGTACTTTTTCCCTGTGAATGGATCAATTACACCTCCTGTACTAACCTGAGCCTCAAGACATCGGAGGGCAGTAACTCTGTCTACCAAATTTTTGCGTGAGGCTTTCAAGACTGGAATTCTTTCATTGGTTTCAGAAAGCCAGAACCCTGCAATAGGACTGTTTAAATCTTTATTTGGCTGTGAACTGCTAACTAAAATATCACCAAACTCATTAACTGTGATGAGGCCCTCCTTATATTTGTTGACTAACGCTCTGTCAATTCTACCCTGATTTAAGGTCTCCTCAATATTAAACTGTACACCCGTTTTAAGATCTGTAAGCAAAAGAAAAGAATTTCCATCAGAGTCAAAACATGTAGACTCCTTCCAATCAAATTCCTGTTTCGAAAGCTCAAGATATGTAGCTTTATCAATATAATTTTTTTGATAAGCCTCATATGAAGTCATTTCACTTCCTGTGTCAACATTTATTACAGAAGTTTTATGACTTTTCTCTGCTGATGGGCTACTTATTTTCCTTTCACCAACTGGAAGCAGAAAGCATTTACTGCTTACACTGAACAAACTCATTTTCAGCAAATCACAGTAGTACATAGCTTTCCTGTTATTTGGATTGTGAAAACATTTTGCATTACTTGAAGGCTCATGCAAAAATTTTAAAATTGTGTTATTAAGTAAGCCAAGCTGCACAGCAGCTTCTGGAGGTACACGAACACTTCTTACAGGATCAATAACCCCCCCACATGCAATCTGAGCCTCAAGGATATTTTTACCTTTTTGTCTTTCTAAAAGTTGAGCTTCCACAGCCTGAAATACAGACAGCACTTTGCCAGAACAGCAATAACCCAGAACAGCTTTCTCTGCCTCAAGCAGTCTACTCTTGAATTCACTATCTGCAAGCCCTCTAACAATTGAATCATCAACAGAGAATTTCTGACCTGTTGTGGGATCAATAATGAAACCAGTAGCTGCCTGGGCCTCTAAAAATGCCAAGGCCAGTGCTTTTCCGATTATTTTTCTCTTTGCTGCCAAAGCAAAAGAGAGTATCTCTTTGCTGGATTCAAGGTACAGCCCAGCTATAGCTGTAGGTTTAGTTAAAAATTTTTCAAGACTTTTCTGAACCTCACCAACAGTTTTTTGCCCTGAAATGAGCTGCTCAACAGTGAGCCTGTCTAAAAGTTTAACTTCAGTCAACTGCCTGGCAGTTACATCATGTCGGAGACCTTGAAATTTAATAGCATCATATTCCTCTGTAAAATATTCCAGCTGAGTAGCATCATCAACAGTCCTCAAAACCTCTTCTCCTAAGAAAGAGCTCATCTTTGCAAAGTCTTCTTTCCTAAACCCTTCTGAAGTTTTGTATCCCTGAAACATTCTCTCTTCATTACCAAAAGTCTTGTCATTTTCTTGGTTTAATGTTGTGACTTCAACATGCATGTCATAGTGCTTGTTCTTCACTATCTGTAAATAGGAAGTTTTTGACACAGTGAGAAATACAACTGCAGACTATGCTGTACACATAATTCACTCCTAAATCCACCACCAGAGAAACCAAAGGAAGAATTTGAATGCAAGTCAGAAAGGAGAACCACTACTAGGATTGGCAAGCAGAGATATATAAATAGCTTGTGTTTTGAAGTGCATTTGCCATTTCAAATATTTATTTAATAACAGGAATATGACTAGACTAAACATCAGTAACTGTTGTTTGTAACTATATGAGCTTACTGCTGTTAATCAAAACTTACTTTGACCAATAAAGATACAACAGTGTATGTGAATTCCTATTTTCAACACAGATTTTTAAAATAATCTTTCTTAGACATTAACAAACCTGGTAGGAAGATCTAATATAAAGCTTTTTGTGTTAAGTAAGACAGAAGGGGTTCCCTTCACCAAGACACGAACATAAGAAATACTAAACAGTATAGTAATAGTAATAAAGCATAACCAAAACCAGCCAACCAAATGGACTGTAAAAGGCACCGTTAGGAAGGCAAACCCTCACAAAATGTAGTGTGTACCTCCAAGGGATGCAGTTTTACCAATCCTAATTCATGTTTTGAGTCTTCTCCATGTCTAATGGTTTGTCTGGAACTGTGTAGGTTCCTGTTCCTCAATGTGTCCCTTTCAGATGTTCCAGAGATTTGGCTTGCTTTATCAAAAGTTATCTGGAACTGTGTACTCGTCTGCGAAACAAACTCCGTAAAAGACTGGGAACTTGAATCTTCTAATGATTGGTTTATGCTTGACATCTGAAACTGCACCTCTCTTGGTATTGTGTCTTCAGCACTCACATACAATGTATTTTCTTCTATTTGATCGGATTTAAAACCTGATCTTTCCTGTTTCTGCCTTAACAAAGGTGAGGTACGTGGAGGAAGCTGTTCAAATTCTTTAGCTGCAGTCTCATTCAGGTAATTGAAATCATTTCCTCTTCTCTCACAGCTCAATTTAAATCCAGAATCTTGGAGATTATTATTTTGCTGAACTTCATTCTGAAATGAAACAAATCTATGTTCACTCTCCCTGACCTGCATATCCATCTTCTGTTTCAAGCTCTCAACCATGCGCTTCTGCACTTCCAATTCTTCCTCGAGTTTCCTGCACTTCTGGTGATAGTCCATCTCAGCCTGCTTCCCTTGCTGTAGTTGTTCGTGACATTTTTTGAGCCTTTCTTGCAGATCTTCCATTTGCCTCTTGTACAACATGATGTTTTCCTCAGCCATATGCTTTTCTTGCTGAAGAGCAACACATTCTAGTTTTATACCAGATATGTCCTTTTCTGTGATGCTATGGGATTCCAGTAATTTTTCAACTTTTTTCCTAAATTCCTCTGCAGAGTGTTTAAACTTAATGGATTCTTCCTGAAATAGAATCATCTTCTTGCGTGCCATCTGTTCATCCAGAGTCTTCTGATGGAGTTCATCCTGCAATTTTTTTAATTTGCTACTTAGTTCTTGTATATGAGCTTGTTGTAGTGCCATCTTCTGCTCACTCATTCTCTTTTCCACAGTTAGAGCATTCATCTGAGCATTTAAATTTTTAACCTCCCGGTCAATGCTAAGGGTGGACGCATTTTGTTTATCACATTTTTGTTTATAGTCACTAGCTAAGTCTTTTGTTTTTGCAAGATCAACTTCTAGGCTTTTGATTT